GGGGGGCCAAATATCGTTATTTTTGACGTCAATTGTGGGCCGGTAGGATTATTTTAACATTCAATAATGACCTGAAATGCTGTTGATATTTGGTTGATTTTAGGTTGTGTTGGAAAGTGACCAAAGTCCAGTGTCGAGCCAACATCTTAAACCAACATACTGACATGAGATCTTGACATTTATTCGTCAGGTATGGCAACCAAAATCCAACGTCTGATAGATGTCATATTAGTAACGTCCACACAACGTCAAGCTGTAACATCATTGGACATTGATATTTTGTTGTTTTTTAGGTTGTGTTGGAAAGTGACCAAAATGTAACGTCTGTCTGACATTGGACATTGACGTCAGCTTGACGTTGAGTTCTGATGTCAACCCGAATATTATTTACAAAAAAATGCAACGTCCCCACGATGTTGGGGTACAACGTCAATCTGATGTCATGTTGCCGTCCTGTGCCTGCTGGGAGGTTTTAAAAAAGATTTCAAAATATTTTAAATATGCAGGGGGAGCAGAAACCAAAAAACCCTTAAAGTTCATAACACCGCAGAGACGGAGGTTTGTGTATCTTTTACGTAACCTGCCAATGAAAGGTAATAAGACATTAATACAGCTTGCTTCACAGACGGATGGACAAACAAGTCTGAACCTGTGCTCTCCTGCACTCACACACAAGATTATGCATTGCTTTTGATGGAGTACATAGTTAAGACACGGCCGCTTATATATTATCAGGAGAAAGTTTGGCCTCCCGCTTCAGTCTCTGTGGCAACTGGCCCATAAAAACCAGCGATGCCCCCATTGGCCGACCTCCCCACATCGCTAGCAGTCCGGGCACTCGGCCAAACGTCCAAACATTTCAACCTGCAAAGATGCTGTCGCCAAGTGCTCACGCCAATTTATGAATAAAGGTAAAGGATGCTGGTTTCACTGGTCTCTGAGGAGCATGTGGCTCCGCATGAGGGGGTTTATGGAGTCTGCCGTTCACCTATACACTTTGGAGGAGGATCCAGGGTAGAATGGGAGTAAAGTATAACTCAAGTGTGGATGACACAGGTATTCTAGAGAAATATTTAACAGAAAGTGCTTATCTAAACACTCTGAGATATCCTCATGCACACTAAGATACACTAGCAAAAAGTAATATTTATGAACACTTTGAATAATTTAAAGTGATATATTGTCTGGGTTGGTGTTTATATTACGTTATAAAAAACCTTGCAATAAACTGCCAGTACAATTTTTGTTATTTTACAGACTTATTTCTTTACATATTATTTCTTATACATTACATTATTTAAATTGCTAAAATGTCAATTTCAAGTCAGATCAAAGTATCATAATCCAATTCACAACCGTTAATAAATGAAAAATACTAGTGAATCACAAAATTCATTGATTAACATATTTATGGTGGCTTGAGAAAGCCAACATACTGTTATAATACTACATACATGTCTTTTTCTTCTGAGACAAATTTCTATGTATGCATCTCCTTCTAAACGGTTCATACTACAACCACCAAACTAACACCAAACTTCCAAACTGGTCTGACTTGGGTTGCAATAACTTTTCCAATTGATCCGACTTATGGTTTTCCGAAAACTGACCCATATAATTCACAAAGGTTCCGTTGACTTAACATTGGACCAAACTTTATGACCTCATGAATATGCGCCAGACTGTCATACAACAACAGCCTAGCAACCAGTCAGAACACCCTAGTAACCACCTAACAACACCTTAGGAACCACCTAGCAACACCTTAGCAACCACCTAGCAATGCCTTAGCAACCGCCTAGCAACCCCTCAGGACACCTTGGCAACTGCCTAGCAACACTTTAGCAAACAACTTAGCAACCACCTAGCAACACCTTAACAACCAGTCAAAATACTCTAGCAATGGCCTAGCAACCACTCAAACACCCTAGCAACGCCTTAGCAACCATTCAGAGCCCCCTATCAACTGTCTAGCAAGAAATATGCTAATCCATACTAGAAACATGCTACATATATATAATTATCCATCTATGCCGACTGTCAAGCTGCTTAAAAACTACTTTAGTTACTTAAACTTTAAAAGTACTTTAAACTTTCAGACGAGGCTTTCTGAAGTTTGAATGAATGGTTCTCCTTTTCTAATAATGTTTAGATTTTAAACTTAAAATGCTCAAAATTAACTTGTTAGAGTTCATTGAGTAAAGAATTGTGTTTGCTTGGGTTTCCTCCGGGTGCTCCGGTTTTTCCCACAAGTCCAAAGACATAAGCTATAGGTGACTGAGTAAGCTTAATTGTCCTTAGTGTATGAGTGTGAATAAGTGTGTATGGGTGTTTCTCAGAGATTGGTTGCAGCTGGAAGGACATCTGCAGTGTAAAACATATGCTAGATAAGTTGTTGGTTAATCCCACTGTGGTGACCCCTGATTAATAAAAGGACTAAGCTGAAAAGAAAATGCATAAATGAATGAATAAAGAATAAAAATATTCAAAACAATCTTGAGAAGTAATTTTAGCCAAATCTAAAAGTACATTATATTGCATTACAATAAGAAATTTCTATGTTACATTTGACATTGTTTGGTTGTTGTGTTTTAATGCATTACACTTACTAAGATAATTGTCATGAAACTCTGAAACAGGTCATTATAACTGTTATATACAATCTCCAAACAATCACATTATTAAATCTGCTTTTGCAATATTTAAATAGTCGTCTGAAACCCTCCTCCTTCCCCAGCTCCACCTGTCTATATCTGCAATGGGTATCATTTATGCATATAAGAGTTGTCAAATAATTAAAAACCTAAACTGCCACTAGGTGGTAGTAAATGTCTGAATGTGAAAGGTTAATCCATCCAAAAATATAAACTCTCTCATGATTTACTCAACTTAAAGGTATCTTAGGTGTATATGACTTTCTTCTTTGAGTCAAATCCAATAATTCTTCATTTTTCTTCGGCTTAGTCCATTGACTTATCAGGGGTCGCCACAGTGGAATGAACCACCATCTTATCCAGCATATGTACATACCACCCAGTACTGGGAAACACCCATAAACTCTTGCATTCACACATATACACTACGGCCAATTTAGTTTATTCAATTCACCTATAGTGTATGTCTTTGGACTCGGGGGAAACCCAAGTGAACACAGGGAGAACATGCAAACTCCAAACAGAAATGCCAACTGACCCAGCCGGGGCCCGAACCTTCAACTTTTTGCTGTGATGCGACAGGGCTAACCACTGATCCACAGTGCTGCCCCAAATCCAATCAGAGTTATTTAAAAAAATGTGTCTTGCCTATTTCAAGCTCTATAATGGCACCAGTCGACTGATTTTTATTAGCAGTCCAAAAGAAATCCAATAAAGCACATCCATCCATAATAAAAAGTGCCTCTCATGGCTCCGGGGTTGAATAAATGTCTACTCCAGTGAATTCATGCATTTGTGTAAGAAAAACATCCATATTTAAAACTTTAGAAACCATTTTGTGTAACTTCTGGGGACCACTGTTTGTTGTGTTCTTCTTCTTCTTTGGTGCTAATGCACCTCAAAAATTCACCTTAAAAAAAAGCAGAGGACGACGATGAATGGCAATGATGAATGACTGAAGGTTCAATGAAAAATAATGTATGAAGTTTTAAATATTAACATTTTTCTCACAAAACAGCATCGGTTTGCTAAGGGAGAATTTTTCTCATCCCCAGAGTTGCGTGAGGCACTTATTATTATCAATGGATTGAACATTTTTTGGATAAAAATCAGCCGACTGTAGACATTGTAAAGCTATAAAAGGACCAAAAAAAATAACTCTGATTGGATTCGACTCAAGGAAGAAAGTCATATACACCTGGGATATTGTGAGGGAGAGTTTTTAGGTGAATAACCCTTTCAAGAGTTCACACTTAGCTGATGATCGATTATAAAGCTTGTTTGGCATGCTGTCCCGAGAGAGAGCCCTGAGCTCATAAGATCCTCAAGCCCGGGGCTCCCTCCCGTTTGCAGCGCGAGAGGGGAGTTTGAGCTCTGGTAGATCTCGAGAACTCCCCTGCTGTAGTAGCTAATGAACAGATAGTGATTGGTCTTAAGAGATAACTGCTTACTAGGAGCATGTCTATTGTGCCGCTTTGGATTAGTCAAGTAACTCAAGATGCATGTTTTTGGACGGTGGGAGGAAACCGGGGAACCCAGGGGTAACCCACGTGAGCACAGGGAGAACATGTAAACTCCACACAGTAAAGTCAGCTTGCTTGGTAAGGACTAGAACCAGTGCCGTTCTTGCTGTGAGGCAACAGTACTAACCACCGAGCCACCCATCTAGGAAAGAAGGAGGAGCAGGAGCGGAAGGGGGGATTCTTCAAAATGAAGATGATTATATGGAACTTAGGGTATTTATAGTGGCTTAGAAATCGTCTCATTGGTGAATCATACATTGAATAATGCGGGACCAGTCGAAAGGATCATAAGCAAGAGATCCTCTCGAAATTAGTTTATAAAAAAACTTTACTTTAATGACTGGGTAACTTAATCACACCATTTTGGCATCATGTGATTCACCAATTAAATGTATAAAAAGCAAGGTGACCTTTCCTTCTAATAACTTCATTAATCTATTTAACATGTTAAATTGATACCCCAAATGCATATACATGGAGCAGCATGTCTTAAAAGCTCACAGCAGCATCTGTGTCTGCATATCGGTTGGAGCAGGTCCATTATTGCACTGCATTAGCACACAAAGCAGATCCAGTCTGCAAAACACTACAATATTCTTTAACTTCCTAAAACTAATTATCATAATTAAAACAAATGACCAAAATTACTAGTTATAGAGTTTCTAAACCAAAACTTTATCTAAAAGAGCCTGAAGCCTAAGAGAGTAAATTTCCCCTTGTGCTGTCATATGTTCAACCTGATGACTCTAGAGAAAACTTCATGCTGTTCCAAGCAGTTTCTGGACACAAGTAGGACAGTAAATAAGGTTTACGCAAGCTGTACCTGGAAATTGCCGACCATAATGAGTCCAGCAGCACAGATCCAGCCGGTGGAGAGACTTGCTGTGTTCAACACACAGTTCTGGTGTTTCTCTATCACATGGGCATAGCGCAGCAACACAATCACCATCACTGAGGGTGAGAAAAACATAATGAAGTTTATTTAAAGAAACACCACAACCAACATAAATTTAAAGCACACAGGGCATTTTTTTAAAAATTGATTATCCATAATGAAAAATGCCTAGCAGACTACAGCAATCTGGTTTTAAAATACAGGACAAGTTTGTGCAACCATCAGAAGAATTATAGCAGCAATCAAGAAAATGTTTTTTTGCTTTCAATGTTTTACAATGCCTAGAATATCTAAATTATGTGACTTCATATGCATGCTCATATTTGCTAGACACTATTAAACAAAGTTCATTCAAGTTTTTTCCTGTGACAATAATCAATATATGGACATGGCTTTAATTATTTTTGGTGACGCAATATATATCGTCCATCATGATTACATAAAAATGAATTTCTTCAACATTGTAGCTGATTGCGCAGCTTCTGTCTAATCTCTACTGGAAACGACTTTACAAACAATGCTTACTGACAGCTGAAGAAAAGGAAATTTTTTTTAATTTTCACGAAAACTATTGACAGTTTAGGAGAAGCTGTCCAAACAAGTTCTGTTTCAATTCTCCAGTCCACTTCCAGAAAACTGACAATTGTTATGACCCTGTCGTATCTTTTTCTTACCTTTCAGTGGCCTTGCAGTGTGACGTCACAGTTAATTAGTTAATTTATGGGTGGAGGATGTGTATTTTTAAATATGTTGTAAAGAACTGCACTTCCTCTGGTGGACCGTTATTCCCCAGAGAGGTCATATTGTTCCAAGTCTTTTGTTTTGCCGTCTTATGCTTTAGTGTTGTATTTTGGTGAGAGAATTTCAGATGATTTCTTATTTATTTCAAAATCCTAGACAGTTTGTTATACTTTGTAATTCCCTTTAATAAATGTTTATTTCATTATATACTATTTTGTTAATCTGTTCCTTTTTACGGTACGGTCGGGAGTGAGCTGGCCATAACACAATTCACGGTCAATTACATGTCGTTTTTTGTCCCTTGAATGTGTTTATGCCTATTTATATGCTGTTGTATAATCATTATATAAACACAAGGATAAACTGGACTTAAAATGACAATAGTATCAGTTGTCACAATAATTTCTATGATAATATATTGCACAACAAATATTACTTATTGTGACAGGTCAATTTAAAGTATACACATGCAAAATTACATTCAATAAGCGTCAAATCATGTAGTAAAATCTTTGTAAGTAAAAGGTTACATTAGCATGATACAATATGTAAATGCATGTGAATGTAGGGGATAGATGCAATTCAAAACAATCGAAAAAAGAAAACTTCTGCTGTTGACCTGACAACATCTTCATCAACATCTTCTCTATGACTTCAATTTCTCATTGGTAAATCTTTCACTGAGTTAAATCTTGGATAATATCTATGATGCATATTTAGTTTCTGTTCTCCAAATTTCATTCATAAATTACTAAAATGACTACAACAGTGGGAAATTACCAACAACCGCCAGGTGTTGCGGTGGTGGTGGGGGGTTGGGTTAATTACACTGCAAAATAATCTGTGATAGAAGTTCACTCAAAAGTGAAAATTCTTTCTGTCAATAATTACTACTACTCCCGTCATTCCAACCTTCAAAACACAATTTTCTCTTTTGTATCAGGTCATTTTTGAAAAGGTCTCTGCAATACCTGGCATTTGCGTTCAGAAGACATGAGTTGATTATACATGGCTGAGTGACATGACCTGAGATGGCTCTGGAGATTTGGCGTGTTTGCTCACTTTTTTTTTTTTTACAAACCCTACAAATAGCTTCATCCAAATTATTGGTTCATCTTTCTTGTACACAAATCCAAAATGTTCCCAGGTTGACAATGAAACATTTGGTTTTCCAACGAGATTCATGGACTTGAAATGAAACTTGCTGAATCGCGCCTCATGTTATATTTTAACAGAATCTTTGACAAATAATAAGCTCTTTTGATGTAATATTGTAAAATCTTTGCTGTCACTTTTCATCAAGTTAACAAATCCTTGTTTAATTAAAGTGTTCACTGAAAAGTATTCTAGTTCCAAACATTTGTGTCACAGTAGTGATCATAGCCACACATTTTAAAAGGGTGGTCCACTTCGATATCATAATTCACCATGCACATTCACCATGCACATACACCCCGCCCAGTGAAGGTGCGTGGCCAGAGGTGCTGTAATGTTATAGCAGAGAAAGCTAATATGCCTTACAAACGCTGCTATTTCCACAAAGCTTCTTCTGTTTTTGTATTTGGGCTTCAAGAGGATACGACACAAAGAGAGAAGTGCTTGCATAAAAAAAGATATAGCTCTAGCATTTGACAAAGGACAGCTTCCAGAATCTCTCCCAGTTCAGTGCTGGATTCAGCTAAAAACTCCTCAAAGAAGGAGCAGCTCCAACCATAATAGATGAACTTGTGGATTGTGAGCCACAACCAGTAAGAATTTTTATTTGTTAAAATTGATCTATTACATGAATAGTGCCTAGCGTTAACGGTATGTTATAGTCGAGACTTAAACAAGGATTTAAACAATGGGAATTGATATTTGGCATCATTAACAATTTAACTACAAATTTAAATTTATCCGTCAAACCGCTGTAAACACCCACAATCTTCAGCAACGCTGCAGTGTCTCTATACGACTGCTTTCCCTTTGTTCTCAAATAACGAAATTGCAAAAGATATGTGAATGTTTCATATTACTTACACATGCTTATAACCTGAATGTATGTGAAAGACACTTGTCAGATTTGATTTTAGAGAGCAGGCGTGAGGTTCAGCTGTGTCCTCTTCATTTATCTGATTCAGGCTCACACTGATATGGCTAACAGCTACTCTGACTGATAGTATTTACACAACAGAGGCAAGGCGTGTGCTAGTATCTGGACGTGACACTTCCTGGTGACGTGGAGCCAATTCGTGAATCACAACACATTATGTTAGCTGACCAATGGGTGGGCTTTCGGAGAAACTAGGAAATTTAATAGCCGTTTTTATGTTAGCTGATTAGCAATATATAATCAAAGTAAGATATATGAAAAAATAACTTGATTTTTTACAATTGAAGCATGAGCACATGTTGCTTTGCATCTTATAAACACAATCAAGACTTAAAAATATACTCTGGACCACCGCTTGAAAATAATTCAAAACACTGTTTTGAAGAACATAAAAACATTTATTGGCTCCTTTTTTATATCAGATGTTTGAACAAATACCATAACTCTTGGTGACATACGGTATGTTTTTATGCTAGGTTAGTGTGACCTAACAAACGAGACACAAGAAGGAAAGTCTATTTTCTACCTTTCTCAAACAGCTGGCTCCTAGTCTGACTCACTTTGACAAAACACCATTTCCAGTATTCTTGGATTCATTATTCACTGGAAAGTCTACTATATAGTCAACATGGAAAGACGAGGAGAGAGTGGATAAAAGAGGTGCTTCATGGGGAGACCTTTAACGTAAATCAGGCGGCTGCAATCTGCTCAACTGTTTTACTGCTTGGTTAATGCTTAATGAAAAGTGACTGGGGCAGATGTGGCCCGTTAGAGTGGGGGGAACAGACAATAAACCGCCCCTCCTTTCTCAGCCCAAACCAACTACCAGAATATTCCTAGAAGTAGTTTTGTGTGAACATTACAGCTCTCACGATTACTTAAGAATAACCATATGAATTTATCTATTGGTTAGTCTTGCTTCAAGGCTGGCCCACACGGAATCGGCTGATTTTTTTCCCCATCATTGAGTATTTATTTACTTGTGTAAATGTGTGTAAATTTATATTTATTCAGTTTTTATTTTTAGTAATTAATTTCAGTAATATTATTGATTAATATGAAAGTGTTCACTTGATTTTTTTATACTACAGTTTGTAAAGTAATATTTTCTGTTTTTTAGTAGATATATTATATGATAGACTTGCTTTGTTTAAAAAATACATTGATCTACATGGATATGCATTGCATATTAATAAATACAACTTAAAAAGCTGTTATTTTTATCTCATAAAAGAAGTTTTTATTTATGATACTCCCAAAATAATTCCGCATAAATCTGCAGATTTTTTACAAAATTCTCCGCATAAATATAAAAAAAATGTTCACAGATTCTGTCTGGCCCTACTTATAGGTGATTATAGCTGATGATTGAGGTTATCCATCATATTTAATAGTGATTCTGAAGAGTTGAGTTGAAGGACAAAGTAGTTTGATGTAATTTTGCAAAAAAAAAAAAAATAAATAAAAAAATCTGGATACTGGATACAGTGGATACATCAGACTCTTGTTGTTTTTATGAATCATCTATGCTAAACTATACCCTAAACCTTACCAGTAGAAAGAATAAAACCAAGGCTAAAATTAATCAAGTGGCAAAACTCTAAAAAAGGCTGGGTTATTTTAACCCTACGTTGGGTCAAAAATGGACAAACCCAATGCTGGGTTAAATTTTTTACTTAAATTTTAGTGGGTTTGTCCATTTTGACCTAACATTGGGCTAAAACAAACCAGCATATTTGAAACAACTATTCATTTTACATTCTTTTTACATAACTTTAAAAACTTTTATCAAATAATGTTTTACAGAGCTCATACTTGAGCCAACTACATCAAAAAGTGCAATGCCTTAAATGTGAGCTAAAGAATAAACTGACTAGATAAGGAAAAACCAACATTATAAATGCAGAAATGTAATGCAAACATATAGTACTGTACAAGAGTCATACAAAAATCAGACTATATTGGTTTATAATCTGCACCATAATTGTATTTTATGTGCAAAAGTCTGTTATGTACTGGGCTGAAGCCTTATTTCTGAGCCACATTAATGCCTGACCAGCTGATTGAAATCAAATAAAGTATGATTCAAATATGTGGGAAAAAAAATAAATATATATATATTTAAATCATATATTTACTCATAAGTAATATAGCTGTGATTATTGTTAAACCTTTAACATTACACTTTCATTGACAGCAATTGTAAAAAAATATATGCTCAAA